ATTCACATGGAAGAGTCACATCCCCTCCACTACAAGAGGACCTGCCACCACCCTCAGAGTGTCCCCCAGGGCCTGGGCGTCCATCCCACAGCCTGTCCGCCCTATACCTTATTCATTCCCAGGGTTCAGGTAATTCTGCCTCAGCCTCCCGAGTAGCTGGGACTACAGGCGCACACCACCATGCCATGCTAATTTTTTTGTTTCTAGTAGAGACGGGGTTTCACCATGTTGGCCAAGATGGTGTCAATCTTTTGACCTCATGATCCACCCACCTTGGCCTGCCAAAGTGTTGGGAATACAGGCATGAGCCACCACACCCGGCCAATAACTTGTTTTGTGTCAACAGACGATACTCAGCTAGTGCACACCTGACAGGCAGCATGAGCAGCTTCCAGAGGTCTCTGCCCCCAGGCGGGGGCAGTTTGCGGAGGCTCCCCTTCAGAAATCGGGCAGCATTAACTGTTGAATAACATGAAGTAGAGAGGCCCATTCCACCCAAGCCTCCAGGGCATTCCCAGTGCTGCCCGCTGAGTCCAGCACCTGGAGGGTGTCATCAAAGCTGGGCATGTCCCAAGTCGGGGGCCTGCAGGGGGCGGGAGGCTGGAGGGCAGGGCCCACAGCCGCTGGTACAGAGTCCCGCCACTACTCAGTGGGTACAGAGCCCTCCTCGGCCTTCCTGCCACTCAGGGTCCTGCTGGGAGCAGAAGCAGGGTCCAGCCTGGTGAGGGGTGTGGAGACCTCAGGCACTGAGCAGGAAGAGTGGGTGCTGTCTCTGAAACCAGCCCCATAGCTGAGGCTGGCACCTCCCCCCCGGGAGGCAAGGAGGGGAGAAGGCAGCCAGGACAGGGCTGGGCTGCAGCGGGTCCCAGCAATCTGCTCCTGGCTCCCCCAGCCTATGCCTGTACCTCAGATTCCTCATCCGGAAGATGGAGAGCAACTCCTACCCTGAAGCCTCAGGCAGGCAGTTTAACGAGAGTGCAGGGTGCAGTACAGCACCTGGGGCCACAGCCTTGGAATGACAGGTGTTTATACCTCGGCTAACAGGATCAGTGTGATGGCCAGCTCCAGGGACCAGGGGCTATACGAGGTTCAAAGACCCCCAGCCCAGGGACTGAGCTGCCTCAAAAGAGGCACTCTTGACTTAAAGCAGAAATAGGCTGGAGAGAGGAGGAGGACTGGGCTGTGGACCTCTGGGCTGGGATGGGCGTTGGTCCCACAGACAGGGTCGTGGGAACCGCAATCTTCTACACCCATGTGAGCCTCTCCTGCCCGGCCTAGTGTCCCACTCTTCACTCAGGCATGAGTGACCAAGAGGCCCAGGGGTTCCCCATGGCCACACAGGAGCTGAAAGCAGTGACCTATCAGCCCCAAGGCCAGGGTCCTGCAAGGAAGCAGTGGTTTCAGCCCCGCAGCCCCAACTGGGAGCAGGAGCACAGGGCACTGTCCCCGCATGGCAGCCCCGCCCCACACAGGAAACTAGACAGCCAGATTCCCAACTACCCCGGGCTCAAGCATCAGCACAGCCTGAGCAGAACTCCAATATGCCCCGGGTGCTCACAATGGCTACAGGGAGGCTCACAGGTCAGACTTAGATCCACAGCAGCCTCACTGGGGCACTCCCAGGACAACCACCGACAATGGGGATAAGAGGAGACGGGCCCTCACAGAAAGCAACAGCCAGACCCAAGGCACATGCAGGGTCTCCAGAGCAGCCCCCCAGCCTCTACGGGGACGTCCCTGGCTTGGGCTGGCATCCCTGCCCGAGGGGCTCCCTGTGCACAGAGGGCACAGCCACCCTTGCTGTGCTTCATGTGCAGCTGGGTCCCAACCATCCCTGAAACACAGCGCTCCTGCTGGGCCCCTGCCTTCACCTTTGCAAACGTGCTTGGTTACCAGAGTTAGGACCGCATTCTCTTGAACATAAGCCACCTATGTGGAGAGGGCCAAGAGCTGGGGAGCTCCCAGCAGATACTCCCCCAAGGCAGGCACCCAGCCCAGGAGCCCCCTGCACCCCCAGCCTCCCACCTGAATGCTGCTTAGGGGAAAGGCAGGGCAGAGGCTCCACAGGAGACCTGGTCCTGCTGATGCAGAAGGGCAAGGACTCCTCTCCCAGGCTCCTGGGAGGAGAGGACTGACATGGAGGTACCCTCTCTGATGAGGTGAGGCGTGGGGTCACGCTGTCATGCAGGATGTGGTGGTGGCTGCCCCACAGACATCAGAGGGCGGTGGCACCTGCACAGGATCAGGGAGCAGCCCAGAAGAACTTGCTGGGATCTGCACCAGCAGTGGAGACCATGGCTGGTCTCCATGAACACAGACACGGGCTAGTGAGGAGGGGTCCTGGGAGAAGCCTGTGGGTGCTGGCCTGCTTCCAGAGGGCACCCAGGGGGACGGGCAGAGGTGGCTGTAAGGGCTCAGGGGAGGACCAGCCACATGAACTCCCACGGTGAGGACGGCAACAGACTTGGAGCAAGGACTGGTGGCATCCGACCCTGCTCCAGACCCAATGGACCCAACTCTCCATGTGCCCGATTTCCTGAAACTCCAGGAGACGGACAGGAAGGGGAATAACCTGCCCGCACACCCCACCATGGGAAAGGAGGGGAAGAGTCCCCAATGTACATCCCACTAGCAGGGTGAGGGCCGAGGCTCCAAGCTGCCTGGCAAGGTGGCAAGCAAGGTGCCCAAACAGTGCCAACATCTGGTCAATGAGTCCTGAGGTCCCTGACAGCCTTGATCACCTCAACACATGAAACACCAGAACTCACGACACTGGATGTGTTCACGGCCAGGCCTGTGACAAGACATTCAGAGTGCAGAGGACAAACACAGGCTGGAGAAATCACTCAACGTGAAAAACACCGGGGACAGCAGAAGGGGTCTGACAGCCTCCCTGCAAATCTTTCGTCGTTAATGCTTCACTCGGAGCCAAGGGTGTTGTAATGAGATGGCTATTAATGCACTTAGGTTTACGAGAGCTCCCATGTACAGCCAGAGCTAACCTCTCCCATGAGGACTGAAAGTCTAGGCCCTCAGCAGAAGGCCCTGCACACCAGGGGCCACTGGACACAGAAAGGACAGACAGCAGGGGCCGGGCATCAGAAGACCACAGCAGGGGGTAGTACCAGTGTCTTGAGGGTGGCTTCACACATGGAGACTTGGGCCCTGAGGGGCTGGAGCAGGCTTGAATGCCACCAGCACTGATCAGAGTTCAGGGTTCATTCTTGTCAAGTGCTGTGGTAAGGGCTCACAGGCGACGACAGAGCATAGCCCTGGGGCCCTTTGGCGTGGCCTCCGAACGAGCAAGGGGTAGCCAGTGCATTCAGGCCCCTGGGCCTGAGGCCTCCTGCGCTGGGACCTTTCATTCTTGCCACACGCCATCCCCAGTGCATGAGCCTCTGTGCCCGTGACCCCTCTAAACCACTGAACCATGTGCCAAGCAACTTTCTAGGGGCAGTTTGGTGACCTCCTTCTCTCATCTTCCTTGAACAGCCATGCAGCACAGCTCTCTGAGACCCTCCATTACAATCCTTTCTCCATAAATTCAGCACCTCCTAACCTCCCATGTTATTTATGTTTGCTCATTAAATGTCTCCCCTACTCAGAAGCTCAGCTCCAGGGGCCAGAGGCTCTGTCAGACATCCCCTGGCACAGGGCCTGGCCTGCTGTGTGTGCTCAGCAGCCTGGCTGGAAGGTGGCTGTCGTCACTCCTGTGAGCCTGGCTCACTCACTGCTGGTGGACCCAGGTCATCTTACAGCTGGTCACTGGCTGAATGAGAAATAGACACAGCAGTCTAGGACAGGGCGACAGGCCACACCAAGGCCCTCATCTGCATACCCATCTCACCACAGTCTCTACCACCAAGGCCCAAGCTGGACAGAGTGAGCCCTGAGACCAAAGAGTTCATAGAGCTCGGCTGTGGCAGCAGAAATCGCAGGCCCAGACCCTTCAAGAGGTGGCCTGGTGGCATCACACGCCAGCTCACTGACCTGAGTATGTCCCTTGACCCCCTCCTGGGCCTCAGTTTCCTCATGAGCAAAATTCAGGTCACAACAGCACCCATACCACATAAGTCATGGTGACAGTGAGACTGAACAATCAGATACAGGGCCAGGCAGAGCTGAACAGCAAGTCACCCTGTGGCAGCATGTGCCAACAAGGCCAGAAGACCCTGGCACATATCCCACCACATCCAGGCAGGGCTGCGCCGTGCCCATGTTCTCCATGCAAATCCTGAGAGAACACAGGCTCTTCAACCCTGGGCTGGGAACGGTGTGTTGGGAGCCCCTGGCCCAGGGAGTGTGGACATGGCCTCCACCCAGGCCTGGCAATGCCCAGCTGCTTCCTCCCCCTGCACGGTGAGAGCTGCTCAGGGCTAGACAAAAGCACAGAGCATCATGGTGGCCCATGGGCCAGGGAAAAGGCAGAAGCCAAGGCTGACACCACCTATCCTGGGAGGACACTGGAGCCAGGAAAGGGATGCAGGCTGGAAGCTGTAGGAAGGAGGAACAACTATTCCAGTTCTGCAGCGAGCTCGGTACACCTGGGCTTCAGACCCTGCCCATCAGGCCCCAACAGAGCCTTCCCAGTGGTGGGAACCAGAGCACTGGCACCAACTCTGAGTACCCAGAGACCAGGTCTTGGTACACACACATCCTTGGCAGATGCCCCTCACAGGGGCAGGACCTTGAGTGGCCCTTTGACAGGCATCCTGAGGGGGTCTCTAACCATTAAAGGAGCACTGTCCCTCTGTCACCCACCTGCAGGCTGGGGCCACCTGGGATGCCCTGACAGCTGAGGATGCTGCAGGTGCCAGTGTGATAATTAACTCGGATCCACGTGCAGAGGAAGCAGCCCGTGGATGCCCTCCTCGATGGATGCCTGCCAGCGAGGAACTGGGGAAGCCATGGCCCAGACCTCCACCCTCCAGGCCCTGCCAAGGCCCACCAGGGAGAAGGCCCCACCTGATGACATGAGCCCCACGCCCGCGGCCCCTCACCTCCATCTCGGCGCTGTGGCTGTGCACCTTCTGCACCATGTCCTCGGCCTCCCGCATGCGCCGGGTCAGCTGGGGCGAGTACTCGGCTGGGGTCAGCTCACTGTCATAGGAGCCCAGGATGGCCCGCATGCCGTCCCGCTCCTGTGGACACAGAGGGCAGCTGGTCAGAACCCGGGGCGGGGGAGGAAGTAATGCTGGAGATGGCTCAGGGAATGCCTGACAAGAGCAGGGTCATGTCAGGGGATCCTCATAAGGACCCAGGCCAGCACCCCTGAGAGCCTTTGCCTCGGCGCCCACTTTGACCATGTCAGGACTTTGCTGCAGCAGGCGTGGGCTCTACCTCGTACCAGCAGTGTGGCTACCAGGTGGGCTGGGAGCACAGGCCTCTGCCTCTGTGAACACAGCACACACAGTGCGAGGCTGCACAGTGGGCAGAGCCCAGGTTCCCTACCCCAGCCTGTACCACTGGGTCTGCATGACTCCTCTGAGTCTCAGTCACGCTGGTCCCAGGGAGATGACAGTAGGCAGGCCCGAAGCTGCGTGAGTCCCTCTTCCTGGGACTTCCGTCTGGCCTCTGAGCAGACTGCTTAGGATACAGACAGGAGCCGAGGACCCGAAGAAGGAGGAGACACAGTGTGCCCCAGGAAGCTGCTGCGTCCCAGTGGGACCGGGAACCTGCCGGTCTGTCCACCTGCTCAGGGCTCTTGGGAAGATCGGGTCCTTGCTTTTCAGCTCTGGGCTTGGGAGCTCCTCATTTTCCCACAGAGCTCCCAGGATATCTGAGGCCAGGCCCCCACGCAGCAGCCAAGCTCAGCTCCCTGGGATGACACTGACCACAGTGTCAGGGCTGATTACTGATTCCTAGAGCTGAGCAGAAACTCCTGTTCACTTGTGTCCTGCCTGACACGCTGAGGAGGCTGACGGTGAGAGCCACGCAGTCAGGGGCCCCGGGAGACACGCGCTGCCTCCTGAGTCAGAGGCCCCGGGAGATGTGCCCTGCCTCTTGAGTTGGGGGCCCCAGGAGACACACACTGCCTCCTGAGTTGGGGGCCCCAGGAGACGTGTACTGCCTGGTGAGTCAGGGGCCCCAAGAGACGTGCACTGTCTCCTGAGTCAGGGCCCAGGAGACGCGCACTGCCTCCTGAGTTGGGGGCCCCAGAAGACACACACTGCCCATTGAGTCAGGGAGACGTGGCTGCCTCTTGAGTCAGGGGCCCCAGGAAACACACACTGCCTCCTGAGTCGGGGGCCCCAGGAGACGCGCACCACCTCCCAAGTCGGGGGCCCTGGGAGACTCCCACTGCCTGCTGAGTTGGGGCCCCAGGAGATGCGTGCTGCTTCCAGAGCCAGGGTAGAAGTGCATTCCTTCCCAGACGCTGAGTCTGGATGGAGCAGATTCCAAGCACAGGCTAGGGACCTTCTACTGCCTGCCGGCCTCTGTGGGAGCCCACAGGGGACCACACAATGAGGAAGCCAGTCCTTCAGAAGGCCAGGTGTGCTGGAGAGCAGCTTCCAGATCTTCACGGGTGTCTGTGTGCCCTGTGGTCATGTAGCGCTTTGATGCAGGGCAGGCCTGGGAATATGCACTTCTAACATCTTACTGATTCTCCGTAGCCTCTGCCAGGAAAATCTGCCCCATTCTTGAGGGCTGGGGGATGAGGATGCTGGGGTAGGAGAGCCCAGGAAGAAGCAGATGGATATCTACGAGATGCAGGTTCAAGCCCCAGCTCTGTCCTGAGGCCAGCTATTCAACCACCCTCTCCAAGTCTCGGTTCCTTCGTTGATAAGATGGGAAACAGGGCGGCTGCGAAGACTGAGGCTATCAGGAATGAAGCATCCAGCCAGCTGCCCTGGAGACAACCAATACTCAAGAAGCGAGAGCCATAACCTCACAAACCCAGGAAATGGTCCCCACTGGCCCACATGCTGGGGAAGGGGCCAATGCTCTGGCCCAGCCCCACACCACCTCGCTGTGCTTCAGACCATGTGAGGGTAGGCGAGCTGTGGGACCGCCCCCGCAAATACTGGCGGAAAGGGCAAATTCATGGCCCTGATAGAGACCAGTTCACTAAGGCAGCCTGGGAAGCAAGACCCCCACCCAGAAGTGGAATCCACGAAATTGCCAGGGTCCCTTCGGTGTGGTCTCCTCTGAGTCTGCACATACACAAGCTGAGCCCCCCTCGCCCCCCCAGGCCCCGCCTTGCTCCCAGGAGAGACCCAGCACAGACACCTGCTGAATCCCTGCCAGGCCCTCTGTCCATCTCCCCACACGTGAGAAGTATGAGGCTGTGGGAGCTGAGGAAACCCCGGCCTGCTCTCTCAGGAGCCCCTGGAGTTCAGACCACCACGTCTGGGGCTTTCCTGCTGTCTCCCGAGCCAGGGACACAGGTGACACCCTGGCATGAACTTCATAATTAGTTGATGACGAAAAATTCAAAATTCAATAAGTGAGAAATTAAAGTTACAAATCCAATTGGAACGGGTCACATATCTGTGGAAAATTTGTTTGCACAGGAAGGTTTATTGCGTGCCATACTTTTATTGAAATCCTATATCTTCCCATTGACTTTTATCGTTTCAAGCCAGTTACTAGAGTTGTCATTACCAACGGGTGCGGACACCACACAAGGCCGGGGCGGGGGGACTTCCCTTCGTAAACAAGCTGTAATTGTCTCCTTTATTGACCAGTAAATCTCTGAGCGCTTCCTTCCTGATGGCTCTCTCCAGCATAACTCCAAGCTAGCACCAGCTGGCAGAGAAGACAGATATTAGAAACTTTGTTGTTTGGACCCTTTCAAGAAACTGTTTTGTCACTGGTAGTGAAAAGGCAGCCACAGTTAGGGTGTGACTTGCTATGACTTTATAACAGCTGACTACACTTACGGGAAAGTCCGCTTGATTTCCACCCCAATAAATGCGGCAATGAATTGCTGAACAGACAGACAGTGGAAGGTGCTGACAGGGGCCACCCAGACTTGCTCAAGAAGCACCCAGCAGTGACACCGTCCACCAGCTGCTCCTTGGGTATGGACATGTCCTGATTCTAAGGAATAGAAGGTGCTTGTCATGCAATTAACAGCCGCTTGCAGAGAAGGTGAGCAGTCAGCACCACACAGAGGAAGTTAGCTGAGGACTCGGGGCCTCAGCACCCTGGATACACCGGCCAGTGGGGATGGGGAGAGCCGCAGAGGAGGGACGCTCCGCCCTGGCCTGTGATATCCAGGCAGAGGGGCTGCCCATCCAGGGAGGTGGCAGGAAGATCTGACGCCAGTCCCAGCCCATCAGCCACTGAACACAAGTCAGTGTACAAGTTCCTGCTCGACCCTCGCACAACCCCAGGCTCCACATTCCCATCTGTAAAATGTCACTGGTAGTGAAAGGGCAGCCACAGTTAGGGTGTGACTTGCTATGGCTTTATAACAGCTGACTACACTTACGGGAAAGTCCGCTTGATTTCCACCCCAATAAATGTCAGGGGTCAGCCCTGGCGGCCCATGTGCCCTGTCAGTGGGAACAAGTGGGGGACCATGCCAGGGCCACCATCTGGGAGTCACATGCATACAGCAAGATATGCTGGCTGAGCGCCACTCCAAACCCCAGCCAGGGTCATGTTCACCACCCTGCACCAGAGGCCTCCAGGAGAGGGGTGTCGGTGCATGAGAGAAGGTGTGTAGACAGCAGAGCCAGCACAGCCAGCACAGGGAGCACCAGCCTTCTCAGGCATAGATGTGCCCCTGGCTGGTCTCTTGGCTGAACTGAGCCTTGCTGGGTGGCTGAGTGGATCTGACCATGTCCTGTAGACCAGCATTTAACAGCCCAGTCGCTCTGAATCTCCAGGGAAAATGGGGAAAGGGAGACGCAGTCCACAGTCTGTGGGGTTTTGAAGCAGTAACTGGCAGGAGGATGAGGATAGGGCCCACTCACAGGGCCCTTGGGGCGGTAAGTAAGGACTCCAGGACAGAGGGCAGATAGGCCCTCTCATGGTCAAGAAGGTCTGGGGAGCTCCACAGCCCAAGGGCTCTGGTGAGCAGGTGATGCAGCAGACAGGGAGGGCTGCACTGTGGAGCTATAGTGGGTAAGAAAGTCCTAGAAAGGCACCAGAACCAAGGCAGAACATGGAGATGGCTGGGGCTTCCTGCATGGGCTGCCAGCAACCTCCAGCCACGCTGGAAACTTGCCTGGTTCTCGTGTCTTTCCGGGACACAGAGGGAGATGGGGAGAGGGAAGCATGGGTGTCAGGTAGAGGACACAGGGACAGCCTGCAGCTCCGAGCGCTGTGGAGGCACTGGGTGGATGCCGGTGTCAGAGCGTGGTAGACCTCAAAGAGGCCCGTCAGCAAGGCACAGAAGCCATGGGCCCGGGGATGCTACAGGAAGAATCTGAGTGCCTTAGGAGGCAGTGGTGGGGAAGGGCACTCTAATCAGAGGGAACAGCATGAGTAGGCACCCAGAGGACCCTTTCGAAAGAGCAACAGAGATAATGACGCTCATCCCCTCATCAGCGGGTGCTCCAGCACGCTAATTACCACGGAGCTTTTGTGTATAAGCCCTAAGCACGCCAATGATTCCCACGGGATGAGAGACAGCTGTCCCACCGCTGAGAATGCCATGGCAGGGGGCAGCGCACCTGGGCAACAAGGGCTGAGACAGCAGACAGAACAGGACCCAGTGCCCTTGGAGAAAGACACCCAGGGCATAGTCCTTGAGCCTGGGCTTGGGAAAGGCAGAGCAATGAGGCCAGGAAGCTGAGACAGGGACCAGGGCTGCTAGCCCCAGGGGATGGCGGGGGTGTGGGGACGCACAGGGCCCGCACGAGAACACCCGCAGGAGCTGGAGACTGCAGTAGGCCCGTCCTGCTGGAGGAGCTGCAGACAGAGGAGTTGTGGATGGAGGCACCACAGGGGGCAGAGACCAGCCCCACGGCCCCCAAGCAGCAGTCACTTGAGGTGTGCATGCCCAGGCCAGCTCCCAACCCACACAGACCCAACACAGCCCACATCCTGGCTGGACACTAACTAGCTGTATGACCTTGGGAAAAATAAGCCTCTCTGAGTCTCAGGACACTCAACCATAAAGGAGAGGGCAAGGAATGCCTCAGGCTGATTGTGAAGTTCAAATGCAGCATCGCACAGAAAGCCAGGC